TCACCCTCTTGCCCCTCCCCCCCTCGCTCTCCACCACCCCCCACCATCCCCGGCTACTGCTCAACCTCCCCCCTCCCACCTCCCACCACACGCCCGCCATGACGCTGCCCAAGCGCCCGGCCGCGCTGCCGGCGAAGGGCGTGAACGGCAAGCATGACGCCAAGCCGATTCGCACGGTACGCACCACCTCTCTCAGCCCCCCTCCCCGCCCGCGCCCGGGCGCGCGCGCGCGCACGCCGAAGGATCTAACGCGTCCGGCGCGGCAGTACGTGGATTTGTCAAAGCTGCGCAAGACCTCGCTCAAGCGGTACAAGAAGCATTTTAACCTCGACGTCAAGGCCGACTCCAAGACCGAGCTGCTGGAGGCCGTGGGACGCCACTTCGCCGCCATGCCCGTCCGCGAGGCTGACGTCGCACTGGAGTTTCACAACTTCGCCCGCTCGCTGCGTGCCAAGCGCAACGCCCTGGGACAAGATGCCGCTGTCGCCTCGGGCACTGCCGTCGACGCGGCTGCAGCGGCGGCGGCTGCGGGCAAGTAGCCACGCGACCCGCCGCGCTGGAAAGAAACCGCCGCGATCGCACTGGGGGGGAATGCCGGCACGACGCTTCTCGCTCGTCGGCACCGACTTTTGCCTTTCAGCTGCTACGTGGTCTGCCCGCGGCGTGAGCGACTATCCGTATGGGGTCGCGCTTTTGTAAATGATGACTTTTATCTTGCTCGTTGCGTGTTCCAGCTCCCTTCCGCCGCCGTCGCTCCGGCCTCCTTCCACAGGCGGAGGGGCAAGGCGAGGTGCGATGCAGACGCCCGGAAAGCGGGCAGGAGGCGTCAGCTTGGGGGCACGCGGGGAATTTTATTCGTAAAAATCACTTTTCATCCTTTGCTGTGGCACGCGGGAAAGAGGAAGACGCGCGCCACCGGCCGAGATGCACTGTCACGCGTGATGCTCCGCGTCACAGCCCGAGCCGTCTGGCACGCGCTTCGCGCACCGCGTCGAACGGGTTGCGCTCGTCCCCGCTCCACCGCGCCACACGCTCCACCTCCTCAAGCATCTCGCGCACCTTCATCCCTGCCGCCGCCAGCGTCTGCTTTCTCCCGTCCGCTATCGCACATCCACACGCAAAGTCACTGTCTATGTCAGTTCCCTCCGTCCCCGCTTGCCTCGCATGCCTCGCATGCCTCGCATGCCCAATCGCCCCGCCCGCCCGCACGCCCCCGCGTTTTCTTACGTACCGTACTCCAACCCGATCGTCGCGCGCCCGTACTCCTCGATCAGATGCACGTCCACCTTCAGCTTCGCGTTCGCCTCGCGCACCGCCGGCGACCGCACGCGCCGCAGAAACTCCCTGTTGGTTCGTCGCGTCAGTTTCCGCCTCTTCGCGAGCGCATTCGCGGTCCGTCGCATCCGCCGCATCCGCCGCATCCGACATACCGCGCCGTCGTCGACCGGTGATCGAAAGGATTCAGCTCCACGCGCACCGCGCGCAGCGTCTTGAATAGCTCCGACGATTTGCGGCTCGCGGCCACCGCACGCACTAGCTGACCCATGCCGAGTGTCCACGGCGGTGGGAATGGGGGCAAGGGGGTCTGGGGATCGATAGAAGTGCACAGGGGTTTGCGCCGGCCGCATGTAGCAGGCCCGAAAATATTGGAAATTTTGTAGTTTTTTTTCTCGGGCACCTCGTTGATCCGGTTGGAGTCAGGACAGAGGAATGAGGGTTGAACCACGGACAGACGTTGGCCTGCGTTTCACCTCAGTTTCTCCATCTCTCCGTCTCAGGTCCCCACTGCGACGAGACGAGACGAGACGAGACGCGTCCACCCTCCGTCGCCTCGCCTTGCCATGCCTGCCATGACGCACCTGATCAACCCACCTCCGGTGCTCCTGCCCCCGAAAATGCCACTGCACCTCTCCAACTTCCTCCCCTTGCTCTTCCTAGTCCTGCTGCACCTCTGGCTGCACTACCGTCAACCCCTCCCGTACATGGACGAGCTCTTCCATATCCCACAAGCGCAAGCCTTCTGCCGCTCCCTCCGCGTCAAAACCCTCCCGGCCTACGACCCCGCCATAACCACGCTCCCGGGCCTCTACCTCCCCCCCGCCGCGCTTCACTTCTTCACTTCCGGTCGAATCCCATGCTCCCCGCGCGTCCTCCGCATCACCTCCCTCCTCGCAGCCGCCCTCGCTCTCCCACTCCTCTCCTCCCTCCTCACAGCCCTCCGCGCCCGCGCGCGCCGCGCCGCCCGCCCGGACCCGTCCCACGCCGTCGCGATCTGGCTCCACCCCGTCGCCCTCTTCTACGCTCAGCTCTTCTACACAGACCCTCTGGCGCTCCTCGCCCTCCTCCTCGCGCATCTCTACGCCCTCCGTGCCGCGCATCTCCGGGCCGCCTCCTTCGCCTTCTTCGCCGCGCTCACGCGCCAGACCAACATCGTCTGGCACTTTTACCTCGCCGCCGACGCCGCCATCCCGCTCCTCGTGTCTCGCTGCACCCAGAACAAGCCTCTCTACACCTCTGTCCGCATACTCCTCCCTCTCCTTTGGCCGCACGCGCTCACCGCGTGCGTTTACCTCACCTTCCTCGTCCTCAACGCCGGCCCGGCCCTCGGCGACAAGGCCCACCATGCGCCCACAGCCCACTGGGCAATGCTTCCTTACTTCCTCGGATTCCACGCCGCCTCGTATCTCCCGTTTCAGTTGCTTGAACCGCGCGAGCTTGTCGCCCAGGCTACTATCCTGCGCCGCTCCCCCGCTTTGCGGGCTGGCGCGCTATCCGTCTGCGCCGTGCTGGCCGCCATGATTGTTGCTACGGGTGACCATGTGCATCCGTTCACGCTCGCGGATAACCGGCACTTCGTGTTTTATGTGTACCGCAAGTGGCTCTTGCGCGCCCCGTGGAGAAAGCTGGCGTTGCTGCCACTATACGTGTGGGGGGCCATCGGGCCGGTGCTGGAGCTGGAGATGCGCCGGCGAGGGGACGGAGGGGTAGAAGGGCAGGTGCGGGACGAGGGGGAGGCGATGCGCACCTTTTACGTTGGTGAGTATGTCAGCGACGCGCTGCTAGTGCTGTGCGCGGCCGCCAGCCTCGTGCCGTCGCCGTTGCTGGAGCCGCGGTATTTTGTTGTCGCCTCCACACTGTGGTCCATGCGCAGGATGGCGAGGCGGGCGGCCGACTTTCCGGCGTGGGGGATGTGCGGCGTCGCGGCCGCGCTGGCGGTCGTCAACGTGGGCTTGGTGTATGTGTTTGCGGAGATGCCATTCGAGAGACCCGTTGATGCACACATGCCAAACGATTCGTCTCCCGGGAGATTCATGTTTTGATGCGCGCGTGCGGGTCTCGTTGCAGCCGACGCGCGCCGATGGCAGTGAGAGACGGTCCATTTCGGCTTGTCTTTGGGACGGTAGGCTCTCTGCATCAGACCTCCGGCTTGATTCCCAGGATTCAGTCTCGCTATTAAGTAGATCTCTTCGAGCGAGAAGAGCTAGCGAGAAGAGCTCAGAGAGGATTTTCTTGTCTCTCAGGGAAGGCGCCATTCTTTGATACTGTGTTGTTGAAAGGAGAAGAACGTGCTTTCCCGCATGCGAAACGTGCAGTCGACCAGATTACGCAATCTCGTTCGCAAAGCGTGGACCAGCAAGCGATGGACCGATGGTGAGATATCAAAAAATTCAAAAAAGCATATTTATTGAATATGCTTTTTTGAATTTTTTGATAGACCGGTGTGGTGGTCCGAAGTGGGCATACGGCTTGGCAGCTGATTGGATGTATCTTTGGATGGGAAGGTGGGAACACTGCCATTTTCGTCGTCATTTTGAAGGTGATACAACCAGCGGCCTCATACAGGGGTCATGCGGACCAGCAAGGTTGATGAGGTGATGGTCACTAACAAGTCACGTTGAATGGTAGCATTGTATGCATCCGCAGCAAGGCCTTATCCACAAGGCTTGGACGTGTGTTCGTCAACCAGTCTTAGGCCTCATTTTTTTGGCGGCGCACAAGTTCAGTGGAAGCCCTCCGATACGACCACGCCTCGGCAAATTGAACCGCGGCACCGCCCCCAACATAGGACAAACCCAGCACTATGGTCCTGTAATTTAATTGGGTAGGCTATCCCGACTATCAATGTACTCCCCACAACCAGGACATGCTAATCGTGCATGAGAGACAAATCAGAGTTTGTACCCTTCGAAGGGTAGTTTGTTTGCGAACTCAGGGCGACCTTGTGCGACATTCAAGCATTTCGGTCCCCTGATGTGTGCGTGTCGAGAAAAATGCGTGAGATGTTGTCCACTACTACTGTATCGCTAACTTCCGCTTGTTAATATGCGAGTGTAAATAAAACTCAGGTCTTTTTGGCTACAGTAAAAGAAAACATTTACATTACGTACTGTACCAATAAGTTACGAAAAGTTAAGCTTGTTTCTGGTGCTCAAAAGCAATTGTATCTCCTCGGCTTGCTCGGGGAATTCCCGCAGAGTGGCTTCAATTTGGGGCTCGATCCCAGTGCTTTGTTGCAACTGCAAGGTTGTTACAAGCCGCGCCATGACCTCCAGTAGATCTGAAGCTGACGAAAATCGGTTGCTCAATAGTCTTTCCATGCCCTGTTCGCTGAGTCTTTCCTTTGGAAACGTTCCTTCCTTTGCAGTGATTGATTTGTACACAGTTAGTATGTTAGCAAACAGAATGGAAAGTACCGTTTGGGATCCCGCCCTAGAAACAAGCATCGACAACTCTTCAGCAGAAACCAGCAGAATCGTCGAGAAGACCTTGCCCAGGCACATAGCAACGGCAAGACTGCTCTTCAAATGCCTCAATTGACTCTCTCTCACCCCTCCGGCATCCAACCCGAGCCATTGGGCGAGTAAAGTCTTCACATTGCCCTCGACAAACGCGGAGCGGGACAGTTTTTCACAAGCCCAGAAAGGGACGGCACCTTCCTCAAGGCGCACTCGTTCGGCAAGTACAGCGGAGAGCATGCGGTCTAAAATTTTCGCGAGTGCGTCTTGATCTTCAACCTCTGCAAAGCAGTATGTGAACGGGATTAAGGCAGATGCACACATTGCAGCGTCCATCACATCAGGTATTGCTATGATTGACATACTGGACACCAGTTGCTTCACAGCGTTTGACATTGCCTCAGCATCCATCTTACGATCGGGTCTTATTGACTCAAACCTTCTCACTGAAAACCACAAGGCAAAAGCCACCCCGTACGCCATTGGCCATTGCTCAGGCCCACTACATTTCTGCGAGGAATAAGAATTTGGCGTTTGGGTTAGGTGAGATTGATACGTCCCAAGATGTTCCAACAAACTCAGGCTTCGAGCGATTGTCGCGGCGCTGGTAGATAACTCATTCAGTATACAGGGCTCTGCGTTCGATGTTCTCAGTTCGCTCCCGATTGCGTCCCATGCCGTTGCAAGGTTTGAGACAAGGAATCCATTTCTCTGAAATGCATAGCTACATGCTTCGTGGGACGTTTGGCATGATTGCAAGCTCCAGACTAAGTATTTAAGCCATCGGTTTGAAAATGGCCAATAACACGGAATCAGAAATTCGGAGAGGTGCATATCCGCGTTGACCAAGTCGCACCCTTGAAAAAATCGGCATGGCAATCTTGACAAAACGTCGAGCATATATTGACCTGCGTTCGCCCCAGTACTTTCAACACACTTGCGCAAGTGGTGCAGAAAAACGCCCTTCCTGCCATTGCGTATTTCCCCATTCGTTCTTTGCAGCGACATGCTTTCCTCAGCAAACATGCACACCCCTTCTGCGATCCATTCCGGACTTACGGCGCCATTAACATTGGAAACCGCCACAAACATGCTGCTTTCAGCAACAACTTCACATGCGTCCCTTCCATAACCGCTGAGCACTCGCAGAATGTTCTTCACGGCATGCGGTCGTCCCCATCCACAACGATACTCAATCTGCAACACATCCTGACAGGTAAGCTTCGCTCGCCCACTAAATTGCTGATTAGAGAGGATGTGGGTGATACTATTTAGAACGTTCGCTGCCTCTTCGGTGACATGCTCATCTGTCATGGTGTCCAGGACATTTCTCGTCTTCATGAAGCGCCATGGCACACACAGTGCCCACTGCAGTAGCTGGAGCAATGGATCAAGTCTTGGCAAACGATCTTCACTTGATCGTGCGGTACTTCTATCGACTTCTCCCATGTACGATGTAGACAGACGGTAACGAGACCCTGGCCAATCGTCTTCTTGTAGAAAACCAATTAAAGTTACGCAGTTGGCCGCAAACCAAACGGATTTCCTTACGCTTACAGGGTCGCGCAACGGCAAAGACAAGAAAACAACATTTGCGAAACTAGTCAGCTGTGTGCCTGCTCCAGTCCATGACACATAGCAGAGGTCTGCCACAGAGGAGACGGTGTTCATCGAGAAAATAACAGAGAAAAGCTTTGCTATTCCTATGACCTCAGAGCGTCCCAAGCATTCAATGCGCATGCAAGCAAGAAAGAAGAGATTGTACTGAAAAGGCTTTTGCAGAGCTTGCAGATTCTTGTGTCCGAATATAGTGACAAAGAAGGCGTACAGCAGCATCGCACCTGTCTCCCACCACTTCTCACATCGTTTGAATGTGTTTTCGGCGCGGAAATCCGAATCAGATTTGCTGGTTGCCAATCCGTTTAGCAACCCTCGAAGTACATCCGATGCAACCAGCCCCAGTTGCTTCGCACTTGCACAAACCTTGACAGCGCTCTGAAGCCGGGGTAGTATCGAGCTCTCCATCAGCTCCTTGAAATGCACTACATTGTTCGTTTTGCAATCACTAGAAGCATCGCTAGATGTCGACTTGATCAGATTCTCGATAACTTCAACCAAACTGGTCGATTCGTTGATAGTGGATTCCTTTGAACTCCAGCCGGGCTGCACCTTCGCATTGACTGACAGTTCTGCATTTCGCTGCTTCTTGGCTTGCTCTATTTCTTTCAGAGCGGCGTGCGCCTGTGCCGCGGGTATTGACTTATCTTTCCTTACGAATGCCATCGTTTTAATCAGGTTGGCTCGATGCTCGTCGAACTTGTTCCTGTTCATATTGAAAACCACTTCCTCTGCTACTGCAGGATCGAGGTTGCTGTCCAGCAATACCGGAAGTGCATGAGAACGAAAATGATGGCGGTAAAAATTCATATGCCTCACCAACGCTTTCGGGAGCTCTCCACCATTCTCGGCAAACTCTTTGACAAACTTGATTATAATCACTTCATTTTTGCGTCGAGCGATCAATGCATCCGAAGAGGAAGGGCCAGCCTGATTTCCGTTCCCAGAATGATGCAGGGGATTCAAATCACTGATTTTAGACCGCACTTGCAACAAATAGTCACCAAAAAGATGCAAATACTGCTTATCTGCGGAGAACACTCTATGGTTCATCCTCAAAAATCTAATCGGCTCCAGGGGTGTCAGCTCACTGAGAACAGCTACCAGAACCTTCGTGGACTTTGCATCGCTTGTGCGGACCAAGTTTTTGAGCCATTTCTCATGCTCCTGGAAACCAGCACTGGAATCTTCCGAACCTTTAGAGACGTTTACTGGCAAGAAAAGCCTGCGAACCAAACAGACCAAAGTAGCGACGGTGCGAAGGTCACTCTGAGCACGAGCTGAAGCAAATACTCCCGCAACCGCACACTCCATGCCTCTTCTCTCACCCCCATCCACATCACCATGAGACTTCTTATCCAAAATTCTCTGTATCAGCACAACAATCCTTGCCAGGGCTCCGCTTTCTTGACGTTGTCCTCTATCTGCAATATCCTTCGATGCTACGAGCGATGTTAGACATTCCGTGAAGACTTGCGTAGCTAGCGAGGGAGACACGGCCGCGCAAAGTACAGATAAAGCCTTCTCCTCCGCCACGCCGCCGCTCAAGTACTCTCCCGGATTTCTCCCTGTCGCGAGGCCAGACATTTCCGGCGTCCACTACGGGTATGAAAAGTTCGGCAACGTTAAAAAATGAAAGCTGCATGATGCGAACGTGATGCACTAGCAAACACACAATAGCTGCAGGTACGTACCACTAAACCCTTGTCACTTGCCGTCTCCCTTGCCAACCCCGTCGGCATAACGACCCTGCGCAACCAATTGTAAAAGCGACCCACTTGCATCTCCACACCTTCCTCGACCTCGCGCAGCACTCTCAACGCAACCTCCGTGAGCCTGAACATCTTCCCTGCATCTATCGCGCTACCACGACTACCCCGAAACAGCACGCTCACAAAGGCATCGAGAATCTCTTCGCATCCTGGGCCCCCTTCGCTCACGAGCTCCTTGATGAGACCTTTCAAACCCGCCTGCACGCCGCGGCAAGAGCACGCCTCTGGGCGTGACAGCTCATACACTGCGCGGCGAACGACGACCTCGGGGAGCAAGTCGCACGCGCGGAGATTCCTCGCGCGCAATAGGGCGAGCGTTGCACATAGAGGAGCGACAGCTTCGTCGTCATCGTCTGCGTGAAGCGAAGCGAGGAGCTCCGCGGAGCTGTAAAAGCGGTCACGCAGCTCGGTTTGAAGTGCACGGAGGGCTGCGTGGCCGCCCTCTTTAGAGATACATATCAGGGACTCGCAGAGGGATGTGAGGCGGCTCGAGGCGTGGAGCAGGGAGGTGGGGAGGTTGGCATACTTGGGGGGATACGGCTCATCTGGGGCGTGGTGGAAGACGGAGAGAACGGCTGTGTGCAAATCGGGCGAGAGCCGGCGCTTCTTGCGTGGGGCGGACATCGGTCATCTTCAGGAACAGTCCTCCTGCAGCTGCCCTTGACCTTGGTCGACTTTGGACTTGGGACTCTTGCCGTGTCGACTATCTTCACAACAACAATGGTTGCAACTGCTGATTCGTCATGGGGTGGTGGAGAAGGCCGTGATGGGATCAGAAGGAAAGGTACACGTGTGCCCCCGCCGTTATGCTGATCCCCAAAAATAATAGAAAAAGAGATAGATGGTCGCCCGTTGTCCGCGTCGCTGGCTCATTTTTCTTACCTGCGGCGCTTGTCCGCATCTTTTCAGGGCTTCTTGTGCGCGGCGATCCATAATCGACTTTGTCGTACCCGATACCTCCCCTCTTCCTCCTTTCGCTTCCTACACACGATGAATCCCCAAGCGAGCGAGTTTGTTCCCTCATGGCTCGCGCAGCCGGCCGACGAGCCGAAACCACAAGTCAACGACAAGCCGCAGGGATCTTGGGAGGACGACCCCACGGATTCCCCGCCCACGGAAGCCCTCGCAAAAGCCGCCATCTCCGAGGTCAAGTCGGAACACACCGCCGCAGCATCGGAAGCCCCACCCGCGAAAGCTGAGCCCACAAGGCCCAAGGCTCCCGTGGAAAACACATCCCAGAACGAGGTGGATCTGGGGGCCTTTGATTTGGATCAGAAGAAGCCGCTGAACGTCGTGCTGCTCGGGCATGTCGACGCGGGGAAGAGCACTATATCGGGGCATATTCTCGTGCTCACGGGCAATGTGGACGAGCGTACGATGGAGAAGTACGAGAAGGAGGCCAAGGCATTAGGACGAGAGAGCTGGAAGTTTGCCTTCGCACTCGACACGTCGGAGCAGGAGAGGGCGAAAGGAAAGACTGAGGAGTGCGGACAGGCTAGCTTTACAACGGAGACGAGGCGCTTTACCATACTAGATGCACCCGGTCATAAGAACTACGTGCCGCATATGATCGGTGGGGCGAGCCAGGCGGATATCGGCATTCTCGTGATTTCAGCGAGGAAGGGCGAGTTTGAGACAGGATTCGAAAGAGGGGGGCAAACAAGAGAGCATGCGATGCTGGCAAAGACTTCGGGCGTTAGGCAGATGGTTGTTGTAGTGAACAAGTTGGATGACACGAGCGTGCTCAACCCCGATGGTTCGTGGAGCGAGGAGAGGTTTTTAGAGTGCAAGACGAAGCTGGAGCCATACTTGAAGCAAGTCGGGTGGAACTCGAAGGGCTTGGTTTGGATCCCGGTGTCTGGCATAACGGGCCAGAATTTGAAGGATAAGGTTCCAAGTTCGACGTGTTCATGGTATGATGGAGAACCGCTTTTGGATGTACTGGAGAACCTACGTCCGCCGGAGAGATTGCTATCGGGGCCAGTCAAGATGCCGATTTCGGAGAAACACAAGGAGATGGGAACAATGGTAATGGGTAAGCTCGAGTCCGGAGTCATTAAGGTTAACGACAGGCTCGTTATGATGCCGAATCGTGTTGAAGTGCTCATAGATTCGCTCCAGCTCGAGGGTTCGACCGCGCAAGCGGCGGAGCCAGGGGATGTTGTTCGCCTCCGGTTAAAGGGTATTGAAGAGGAGGATGTCCGGGTCGGGTTTGTTTTGTGCTCATCAACGGACCTTGTTTCTTACACACACTCTTTTATTGCACGATTGATGGTGTTAGAGCATAAGAGTATCATCTGCGCAGGATACTCCGCCGTGATTCATATTCATTCTGCTGTTGAGGAGTTCACCGTGTCTAAGCTGTTGGCTGAGTTGGACAAAAAGGGTAAGGCAAAGCAAAAGAATCCCAAATTTGTCAAGCCCGGCATGAGGTGCTTAGTACAGTTGAAGATGTCGCAGCCCATCTGCGTCGAGCCGTACGATGTATTCCCACAACTCGGACGATTTATGATCCGTGACGAGGGCAAAACAGTTGCCGTGGGTACAGTAGCGAGGTTGATATCTGATTCCGACAGACCAGACGGGTCGAACAGAGATTAAATCGCTTAGCATTGACTCGATAATGTAACTTGACAGACGCATCTTAATATTCTGATTAGTAGGAAAATTCCAACAACTGTTTCTGCTTTTGCAGCCGGTGCCAGAACTACCTCTTAACGGCAGCCGTAAAAGTGTTGGGAAGCCCGTTTTGTAAAGGCCCTACTACCTCCCTTCTTGTCTTTTTACACCAGTAATGCGCTAGGACGCGAGGACCTCATGCAGAAGCGTTAATTCCTAAATATGCCCTCTCACGCTGTTGCCTTCGCAATTGGCTTATTCACAACTTTGTTCTTTGACGGTTCCTTGTAATAATTGGTCCACTCACCCCCATCCTTGGCATAAAAGTCCATCGGATACTGCTCCCTCCACTCGGTCTTTCCCAGCATGCTCGAGCGGCCGCCAGTGTGCTGGAAAGGCTTCTTCCCATACCCCTCCCCCCAGTCAATGCTCAACCTCGGGCAGGCAATCTGCACCCACGCGTGCACGCCGCCCTCTTCAAACCTCTTGACCTTTGCGGGCGTAATCTCGGACAGCAGCACGACAACTGCCGTCTTCCCCGCCTCCCTTGCTGCGGCCCTGAGCCGCTCCAGGATCTTCGGGCTGCCCTGCCTCCCGAGCGTCCCCAGCACGATTGCGAAGTTTTGCGCCCCCTTTGCCGCTTCCACGGCTGCATGCCGCATCGCGCGCATCTCCGCGTGCGCATACCGCTCCTCCGTCAGCTTCTTCTCGTACGGGTCGTACCGGAACGCCCTGACGCGCGGGTTGGCGATCATCACGCTCTCCAGGTGGAACCGCCCGTCCCCCACGTACAGCAGCGCGTCCACATCGGCCGGCAGCGTCGGCGCCGTGCAGCCTAGCAGTTCGCCGGGCGACAGCGGTCGCTTCTGCGGCACGAGCAGACGCGGATATTCGGCCGCCAGAGTCTCCCGCACGGCGTGCAGCGTGTCGACAAACTGGATCGTACCCAGCAGCGCGACGCTCTCCTCCACAGCAAAGTTCTCCCGCACGCACGCGAGTAAGTGCGCCGGCTCGAACGCGATGTGCACAAAAACATACAGCATGGGCAGCACGCACTGCGTGACGGGCACGAGGCATGAGTGCCCATAGTGCACCAAAAAGTCGCAGCCCAACGCTTTTGCGGACAGGTCGTCCACGCAGCACGCGCCGTACGTGACATCGGCGAGCACAATCGAGTCGACGACGCCCGCGTGGCGGCACAGGATGTCCGAGATGGTGGTGGCGAAGTGCAGCAGCCCCTCCGGCATCTGCAGGGCCACGCGCTGCGCGCGCGCTTGGCGGAGACGGTGCACCGTCTTGGGGAGCTCGAAGTTGTAGTTGGAGGGAAGCGTGGCAATGTCGGAAAGCAGCTCCGGGTCGTTGAGAAGGGAGGGCGGGATGGCGTTCGGGCGGCGCGCGCGACGGGGTGGCGCGGCGGCGCGCGGCGCGGATGGGGCGGATGGGGCGGGGCGGAGCCCGCTCCCGATCAGACGCCCCTCGCGCACCGGCGCGGCAGGGCTGGCTGACGGCATGGTCGGGAGAAGAGTGGGACGGGTGCGGGAACGCGCTGGGATGGGGAGCGCGGTGAGGACGTCGAACGAAGCGCCGACGGGCGGACAATGTGACACGTTGCGGTGCGTTGCGACACGTTAACACGTTGTGACATGTTGCGTTGTGACAGGTGACTGCGTTGGGAGACCGAGAGACACAAATTTTTGCACTGGGGCACGAGTAATGAGATCATCGCATGCGCTACAGTACCCAGGGGTACAATGAGTGGAATCAGGGCTTCTGCCTTCAGAATCATGGAATGGGCGCTTCCAAGCAGCAAAGCTTGCGCTTTTGTGGGGCTTTTATTGGCTTCGGCCTTCCCCAAGCCCGCCGTGTCAGATTTCAGGGAATTCCAAGAAAGAGAAAAAATAGAGTTTATTAAAGTGACAATGGACAGGCCTACGAGCGGCCGTCCGAGCCCTTGCGATGTCCGTGCAGTCAGACAGCGTTCGCAAGGAGGCTCTCTGTTTCCCACTCAACTCTTGCTCTCTCACATTCACACGCAGGTCGAGCAACTACTACTTGTGTACTAAACGATCCCCTTACAGTGAAATACTGTAGAAAAAGGCAACTTCTTACTTATCCACTTCCCTTTAACTGGATGAGTTTGACACCAACTACCAGTCATATTTTCACACGCCGGGTACTCTGCTGCACGCTCCTCTTAAAGGCAAGCAAAACATACAGAGAGGTGACATCCTCTCACGAGAAAAGATAAGAAAGCTCGCAAACCTTGATCTACTGCTTCTTCTCCTTCCATGATGCTGCACCGTGGCCAGTAGGAGGCCTTCTTGCGCTGGACCGCAGCCCCTACGGGAACTCCTACAGTAGTCTTTATCGTATCAGGTGTACACTACCTTCGATCTGTAAGCAATCTCCTTTCCTGCTCCCTGAGGTCACTCCCCCCGACCCGCTCTCCCCCTTCCCCGGCCCCCGGCCCCCGCCCCCACCTCCCTCTCGCTCGCAATGATGTCTGCGGCCGCCGAAGACGAGGTAGTGCAAGCCCCTCCGCAGCCGCCGTCCCCCCTGCCAGACGAGCCGTTCTTCGCCCCGGCCATCGTGGACGGCATCGACCCGCTCCCGCCGCTCAAGGACCCTGTATCCGACCTCTTCTCGGCCCTCTCCACGCGCATGTCCGACGCGGTGCGCTCCGTGCGCCTGCCGTCCTCGCGGCTGCCGCCCCTTCCGTCGCTGCTCCTCTTCGGCGACTCGCTGACCGAGCTGGGCGCTTTCTCCGCGGGCCCCGCGGGCCCCGGCTGGGTCGCCCTGCTGCGCGATTCGTACGCCGGCGTCGCCGACGTCTTCGCGCGCGGCTTCTCGGGCTACAACTCGCGCGCCGCCCTGCACATCCTCCCGCGCGTCGTGTCCACGCTCCCGGCCACCGCCCCGCTGCGCGCCGCCCTCATCTTCTTCGGCGCCAACGACGCGTGCGTCGACGGCCGCCCGCAGTGCGTCCCGCTCGACGACTACATCGCCAACCTGCGCACCCTCGTCGACTTCCTGCGCGCCATCCGCAGGACTAATCCCGTCGTCCCCGTCCTCATCGCCCCGCCGCCCGTGCAGCAGGACCGCGACGACCCAGAGCCCGAGCGCCTGGCCGCGCGGACGAGGGAGTATGCGAACGCGTGCGTCAAGCTTGCGAAGGAGCTGGAATGCCCCGTCGTGGACGTGCATGCGGAGATCTTGAAGAGGGTCAGGGAGGAGGGCGGGGAACTTGTGGATGAGCAGAGCGCGCTGGGCAAGTATTTGTGCGATGGCTTGCATTTGTCGAAGGAGGGGAACGCCGTCGTGCATGAGGCCGTCGTCGACACGCTTTGTAGAGAGCTCCCGGAGATGTCGCCGGAGAAGTTGAGCAGGCCATTTCCGCCGTGGCGAGAGCTAGACTTTGAAGATCTTACGCAGTCGTTGGGGCATAGTTCGCTCGTGTGAAGGTGTGGGGAGATGTTGTGGTGCCCGGGGGGGAAGGGGATGGGAGGTAGGAAGGAACTTGTTATAGTTTTAGCAAATAGTTGCAGATACACTTTGTTGGAAGAGCTTCTTCGCAAACTTGGTACTCACTTGTACATTTTCAAGCCTGGTCCTGATCGCATACAGACTCTCACATGCCTCGGCCTTCGAGCCTGTCGTTCCGCCCCCTCGCCGCATTTCGGTTTCGATCCAATGTCATGCAATGCGAATTCTCTCCAGTCTCGGCATATCTTTGAATAGCCCTTCTTCCTCAGCCTCTCGCAGCTTCTGGTTGTCCTTGTCCAAATTCGAGATGAGCGTCGAGTAGAGCTTCTTCTGGTCCTGACTGTACTTCTTCCTATGCACTGCCAACTGTTCCTTGACCGCCTTCAAATCTTCAAACGCCTTCCTTACCGCCACGTCGTTCGGAACAAGCTTGACAGCCTTCAGCAAGTCTTTCTTCGCATCGTCTGCCCGATTTTCTGACGTGTCCAAATCCCACAGCTCGTCTGTCCCTTGCTTCGCCATGTCCTTCTTCACGATCCCGATGAGTACCATAGCACGCCGGTATAGACCCTTGGGGTTCACCGGGTCTATCCGAAGCGCCTCGGTAAAGTCCCAAAGCGCATTGTCAAAGTCCTCTTTCCGCAGCCGACAAAGACCGCGGTTGAGATGGCAAGGCAGCTTGAAGTTGTTCATTTTCTTGTGAGCCTCAGACCCAATGGCCTCCCATTCTTCTTTGGATGTGTACATGAACACAAAGCATCGGTCGTATTGCTTCCACGCTGCTTCGTAGTCACGTTGGGCAAATAGCTTGTTTCCTTTCTCTTTTTCGACCAGACCGGCTGCTATCTTCTCGTCCACTGTACTATAGTCATAGTCAAGTTCGCCCATGTCGGCGGGTTCTTCGTTAGGGTCCTCGTGTTCAAGTTGCCATTCTGTTGAGTCGCCTTCTGCCATGCTGACTGACTTCGTTTCCGACATTTAGCAGTTGGTCCACTTTTCGGAGCTCTTGCTTTGAGACTGATGTCCTTCTCAAATGCTTCCTCGCTAGAACTGCAATTTGACAAGCAAACTAGAGCACAGCCTTTCCCAACGTCAACAATAGAACAGACAGCTGGTAAGAGCAGCACCTTTTCGTCATACACGGGGGGTCTCCTCAATAGTTCGCTTTACAATAGTGCACATGGCCAAAAGTGCACCCCTTTCAGGGATGTCACAACTCTTGCCACGTGTACACCTGTGCACGTGGAGCCATGCCGATGTAGATGCACACCACTGTGCTGCTGTTGACGACCACGACCGAACACCCCGACCACCCATGGCGACCACCGCGACCACTGACCTATCATCAACAAGCGCGCAAGAAGCGACGTCAAATGCTCATATCGGAGCATTTTGTGGCCGGTGGGCTGTGACCTGTGGATGGACCTTTATTAGTTCGCGCTGTCAGTAGTGCGTATCTATAGCTGATGGCACGAGGGTGCACTATTGAGGGGTACCTACAGTATATCGTTTCAGTTTTTGGGCACAGCCGTCGATCAGGCTTCTAAGAGCATCCCCACCGGTAGAATCAAATACCCAAACAACCAAAATTTAATGATTTGATGTCGATTGAAATCCCCACGGGTGCAACCAAATCATCAAATTTTTGGTGTCGATCTAAAAATCGGAACCAAATATCAAGAATTTGGTTCGGGTAGTCTCTGTTTGATTACCCTTGACAATCCAGTTGTGCACGTTCTATTGGTCGACCGAAACGGCTTCCCACGAAAAAGTGCATCGATGCGGTATTTGCCTCGAGATTACCAGTGTCTCCCGCCGATCCAGAATGCCCACTACGGCGTGCATGCTCTTCCCTTCCATCCCTCCAGAACGTCGACGGCCCCGCCATCCCTGAGCGCGTCCTTCCCCGCCCGGCTCTTACACAACAACAACACTTCCTCGACCAACCAGGCGCGAATCTCCGCCATCTCCTCCCGTCCCACCTCCGTTGACCTCCCCAAGCACATTGCGACCACCGCCGTACCCCCACCAACACATCATGGCACTCGTCCGCCATCGCGCAGTTCCGCACCCAGCTCGCCCCCGCCAGCCTCTTCTCTGCCTCCCCCGCCTCCAGCAATCTTAGCAACCTCGTCAACAGCTGTCTCTCCGCCTGCCTTCCCTCGACCAACAGGACGTCCCTCCCCTCCTGGCTCGCGCACGCATTCGACAGCCGCAGCACATTCGGAATACTCGGTACCCTCTCCACGAGCACGAGTAGCGTGCCCCTCTCCCGAAACCCGTCCGCGCCCTCCGCTTCGTCCACGCCCGGCGCGAAGCGCGTCAGGTTGGACAGCAGCGCCGCGTGCAGCGCGACGACGTCCGCGTCCAGGACCACCTGCGCTGCGAGCCGCACCGCGTCCGCGTGCGTCAGAGCCGCCGGCTCCTCGTCCTCCGACAGGTTCACAAGCGCAGACAGTGCTAGAGCAGTGCGATTCGCTGCTCAGCAGCAGCAGCAGCCGCAGGAGAACGTCGCTCGCGGCTGTCGAGCCAATCATCCGCCGCAGCACCGCTGCCGCCGGCGCGTATGTTCTCTCCGGGATCGCGCTGCTCGCGGTCGCGTGGGGAGCGCGTGCTGTCCGTGAGCAGGGAGGACAGCGCCGGCAGTCTGTCTTTGTCCACGGTGGAGGTGAGAGGGAAGGAGTGCAGACAGAGTGGCGAGGGAGAAGGTCGCGGGATGGGTTTCGAGTGAGCGTGCGACTACGACTGAGGGTGCGATACGAGGGTGAGTACGAGTGTGAGTACAAGGATGCGATGGTGAGTACGAGGGGAATGTACTTCATTTGGTTCTCACCGGTGGGGCAGTTCTTTCCGAAGCATCAAACAGCCAAATAACGAAACAACCAAATTCTAGGGAGCCAATCAAATTACAGAAAAAGTGTGCCAAGTGTTGTTATTTGATGATTTGATTGCGTACCGGTGGGGATGCTCTAAATAAAAAAAAATCTGTTCTTTTGGGGCATAAATAGCTCTCAGAGACTTTCGTACTTTCAATATTGCCGACACTCAGAATTGGAGCAAACCGTTCGTAGACTCTTTGACCAACAACTATCTTCTCGCCGGGGCGGGCGATCTTCGTATCTATAGAGACGCCGCCTTTTGATTCTGGCCTGAAGAATGGCTGTGTTCAGCTTTTACCTCTTCGATCGCACTGGTACCTGTCTTTGCTACCACGAATGGCAGCGGACCAGGCAACCTCAAGACATGTCGGATGATCACAAAAACATGTTTGGCATGCTCTTCGCCCTTCGCAATTTCTCCATCAAGCTTTCGCCCGATGCCGAGCGCGGCATTCCGTCATTCTTTGTTACAGATGTGTACGCATTGCATTACTTTGAAACCGCTACAGGTCTTCGCTTTGTGCTCAACACCAGCAATGACTTTAAAGGAGTCGACGTTACACATGCCTTGAGCGAGATTTACAATTCCGTGTTTGTCGAGTATGTTGTTAAAAACCCTTTGTACACACGCGGGAATGTGATTAAGTCAGACCTATTTATTACCAAGTTGGACGACTATATCCGAGCGCTCCCGTGCTTTTGAGACCAAGTTGTGCTGGCGTTAATAACGTCTCATCAAGAAGAATTTACATATGTGACTGTTTCGCATCAAGCAGCAGAAGAGATGTCATTTCTTTGACGACTTTCGGACTGATTCGTTCTTCATATGCGACATACCTTCCAAGCAAACTTACGTACTTCGTGCTGGGAATCCGCAAGTTTTCAATCTGCGTGCTAAACCCGAAGGTTTTAGATAGTTGTGCAATCCACATGCAGTACTGCTCGTATTTCCCAGTCCCGTGTACAGCCCGGACCCCCACAGTCCGCCGAGTCTTTCCGAAAGCCACTTTCTTTCCGTCAAAATCGAAAAAGCAACATGGAAGCACGAAGAACCGCGGGTACGCTCGTCGAAGCTCGCGATCCATATCACCGCCATTGAGGGTGCTACTATCAACCTCGCAAACTGGCCGAGCGTTTATAGTCTTTTGAGCACGAGCCGCTAAGACAGGAATCCATGGTGAAAGTTCGTCGCTATGGTTGCCAAGTATCCAGTCGTATTTTGAACAATCGTAGGAAAGCGGGTCCATTTCCTCGTGATATAGCGCAGCCGAGACCTTTGCTGGATATTTGCTCCAGATACCTCGCTTCTGTAAGTCGACCCCAATGCCCTCATGGCCTTCCATTATTAACAGGTAAACTAGAAACCCGTTCCCACAGCCACAATCAATGAAACTTTGCTTCCTTTTCAGGCCCTCTTCTGCTCTTTCCTTGTCCCACAAGGCGCAGAGGTATGCGGCAATACCGAGTTCTTCATATACAAACTTAACGGGATCTGTGCATTCCGTCCATTGTTCTACCCAAAACATATACTTGAGCTTCATGGCATCATATCGCGTGCGATATTCAATCTCAGTCAGGAGATTGTCATGTTTAACCCTTTTGACATAGGTGCTGCCCCCTGTGGTAGGATCATACGTCTCTGCTCTCTTCCGAAGCACAGACAGCATTTTCGCTGCCGACTTGACTGAATGTACTTTCAAACTCTCGAAGTTTCTTGGGCACGCAGCATCTTCCCCGAGCGGAATTACAGAGTATCGCAAAACACCCCCTTCCTTACCGTCCGCATCTGCTTCATATGTAAAGCGGTAGCAGGCTACCTTGGGGTACTGAAACGGCCAGTAGCGAAGAGCGCGAGGATTTTCAGGGCCGCATACGTTTTCCGGAACAACAAGCCCAAATACCGCGGTATGCAGGTGCTCTGCATTGCCAGTTTCGCGTGCAACCGTCTTGATGTATTGCGCTGTCCACTCGTCGGCTTTATACGTCAATCCAGAGCCATCTGACCCACCACCGATAGGGGCTGGGGTCTTCCGAGATAAGGTGCGCATCACATTCAGTCGGAATCCCGGCTTTGGAGTATGCTGTCCGTACCAGCTCTCTGCATGACTTTTGATAGAGTCGCATTCCTTCCCTTCTTCGGTTCCGAGATACTCGACCACCTCTTCCGCCGTTACACAGACTTCAAAAATTGTTTTGTTCCAGTGTTGCTCGCGTGTGAACGAGCGAATTACATGCCAAAACCCCGCAGCCGTCGCTTTTGTCGATTGAGAGCCAAGTTCAATCCATCCCTGCTTAGCATCAAAATCATCCGTGGGATTCGCAGTCAGCCCGCATGATCCTGACGGCAGAAGCGATTCCTTGTCCCGCGCCATGTCAACTCACATGTGGACGATACCTATACACCGCGCTGTCTCGTCAAGTTACGCCGCGTTACGCCGCCACCGGCCGAAATTGCAGAAGAAGACAAACTCGGCGTGAGAGCTTTGAAGGAAAAAATCTGCTCAGGCCAGCAATGCAAGGACCTTCATAAAAAGCTTGGACCTCGCTTCCATACTTGATCCCCTACCTCTGCCATAAGGTCCCGTAGTTCCAGCTCATCTACGTCAGCACCTGGCCTTCATGCATTTCTCTCTTGGCAAGCTACACGAGAGAAATGGTTACTTCTTGCATCAACTCAGCTTTTGTGAACAACTGCACCATCGGGATATCAACAGAACGCCGCCCTGGTTCCCAACACCACCAACGCAGCTCGCGACGCCGACCACCAAGCAGAATTCAGGTCTCCAATTCTGCAGCCGCCCCTCGCCCATATTCCTCGTCTCCATCCGACCAAAAAGCCGCCTCAGCGTCCGCCAATGTCAACACGCCACCACCGCCTAATGCTGACGAGCCAGTATGGGAAACCCTGGCCGGTTGTCAGGTAGTCACCGTTCCATCCGCGACGAGACCCGTAGCCGTTGTTCGCTTCACAGGTGGGTTTGCTGCCGGCATTGCTCCGCGAGCTTTATACGGTCGTTTTCTTGAGGAAATCGCGAGGCGCGGAAATGTCGCAATAGTGGCAGCACCGGTAAACCCATCATTTGACCATCTTGCTCTTGCGGCGGACGCATCTGAAAAGCTTGGTGACGCAACTCGTGAGCTCGTTGGTAGATGGGATGTGCCATGGATTCCTACGTTTGGAATGGGACATAGCCTCGGGGCCAAAGTGCAGCTACTAGCGAATTGTGACGAAGACGCGCGACAGGCTTTGGGGCCTACTGTGGCAAATTTGTTCCTGGCCTTCAACAACTATACTGCAAAACAAAGCATTCCCATGTGGGACGCTATTCAATCAGCGATAGGCGAGGAATCAACTGCAAAGTCTATCAAAGAATTGAGTAAGGTTGCCGATTTCTTGCGCAGTCTCGATCTATCCGGGCTCGCTGATAGCAGAAGCGCAGATTCGGTAAACCAAGCATCTGACGTTCTCAAAAAGGTTGGAGATACGATGAAGTCCTTTGCAAGTTCAACTACGGATGAATTCACTCCAACTCCTGATGAAACTCTTCAGCTTGTTCGAAGCCGTTACAATGTTCCAGAGAACTTGCTGATATCGTTCAGTCGAGATACGCTCTCCCAAAATGAGGCGCTCGAGGACGTGCTTTGCACCAGATTTGGAGCACGCAGTGCAGTGATTCGGAAATTGGAAGGCACCCACGTGACACCTCTTACCCCGAATCTAGGTACGGGGGAAGCTCCTGACTTCGCGGGTGTTGGTATACCCGGTCTTAATGACCAGGTTCGAAAAGCGGCGGGGGGTGTTTCTACTGAGTTGAATGCAACCGTTGCAGTAGTGGTAGCGTTCTTGCGTTTGCATTTAGAAGTGCTGGCTGAAAAGCGAATGCTACCATAGTTATAAATCGCATGCGCTAAAGTTTTACAGACCGTCCTATCAGTACTGTTCTATCGTAAATCACTAGGGTTAAAGAAGCCCCACTCCATGCAACGTAGAAATGCACCTTCGCCAGATGTCAAGCAGGAACACTTTCACTAACTGCACGTGGAGAACCCTCAACGGCAGCATTTTTTCTCAAACCATTGCCTCGGCCATCTCCAAGCGAGTTACTAGGGTTTTCGATGCTTTCTTCGCGAACATCGGATGAAGACGAATTTTCGTCGTTGACATCCGCTGTCACAAACCTGGTAATGTCGTTATGGGTCCCCCTCATTTCCCTTCCGATAGCTTGTTGTTGTTGGGTCCCCCTCATTTCCCTTCCGATAGCTTGTTGTCCAAGAATATCGAATTTAGCAATAGCTTCTTCCACAGAAGGCATTGCCCGAAACTCGTTTCGAACAGGGGGTTGGTTTTCTACTACGGAAAGCGACTCTTTGAAAAGGCTTTCCTGATCTACAAGCTTATCCGGTGCGTCGCTGCCCTCAACCCTTTCATCTCCAGTCTCATTCTTCTCGACGGTAGGCTGGTCGGCGTTCTCAACCTTCTCAATCCAGGCATTGGATGTGTTTGCCTGTCCGACATCAGAACCTGTCTTTTGGCAGTCACTGTCTTGATTTGAAGAGGTTCCATCAGACTGCTGTTCCTCTTTCTTCATGTTTTGGTGAAAGAGTTTGTTTTCAAAAGTTTTCGCTTCATGATCCTGCTTCCGAAACTGAGAAGCCAATATCTTGCTCAACGGCACAGGAGCCTCGTCTGAATCCATCGAGAACTTTCCCTCTGACTTGACCCAAGCCACCGTGCTATCCGTGGCTTTAAGGATACATGGAGATGCTTCGGACGCTGTCGGAGTCACAGCGTCAAGAGTGATTGCGCGTTCCGTTATCGTTTGCAGTCGCATCTTCGGTGGTCGCATGATCTCAGCCTTTTTCACGGCCCGGCGCTGCATCGGAGGAGCCAATACAGGATAACGAGGCTGTGACCTGACGCAACTGGCCACTGGACCCATGGTCGGGTGTGTTCAATGTCGGCTTTGTAAAAATTGAACTAGGGAAGAATATGAAACGATGCTGTTGTGTTCAGAGTTCCAGTGAGCCTTAAAAGCAAGAAATGAAGAGAAAATGGGCTGGATGGGGAAGAAGGGGAGAGTCACGTCAGAAGTAGCCGAACTAAACAATGTTGAGACGGGTGCCCCGCAATTATCAAGGTGATGGTACTCCAAAACTGCGTTATCAAGCACATAAAACTCTAACAATCTGATCTAGCTGATTTCTTCTCGTGTACAGGTGGAAGAAGGGAATTGTTCGTGAGGTCCTCTTCCGCAGCGAAATGACGAAATGTGGAAACTCCAAGATGGCAAGATGCCTGCAAAATGCCCGGGTCAAATTTTCAACCCCTGATTTACATTTCGATGTAGACATTTCGCATCAAGAATTATCGGAGCAGACCGGGAAAGGACAGAGTTTGATCCCTGAGATGGCATGAGCAATCCGTCCATGTCGGACAGTTTGAGTCAAAGTTACCCATTTTGGCCTCAGATGTGGACCAATGGGGAGCATTGTTGAAAGAAATATTTATGTGAGACCGAGCTGTAAAGTATTAGAGGGGAGGCGACGGATGAACGTTTGTTGAACGCCATGAAGATGCTGTCTAGCGAGATGTTGTGGGAGCTTGCTGGCAGTGTGATCGAATGGTATCTTTCTTATATTTGCTTTCAAGCTACGTTATCGTTTTCAGGCTGCCATGCATGGATTACGTAAATGCCATCCTCAATCACTGTACGCTTACCTTTTGCTAGTACCTCAGTCGGAGACTCGCAGTACAGATCGGAAGAGGTGTGAGGGGAAGGTGTGAGGGGAAAATGTGAGGTGAAGATGTGACAACTTGAGAAACGTGGTGTTCAGGAACGCGTGTACAAGTTAGGCGTATATTTGCGCCGCGTCTTGCAGATGCGATATGTGCGGGTATACTGTAGCATCAATCCAGCAAGGACTTTCCATAGTCGCGTGCCTATTGGATGTCCTTAAATCTGATAAAAGGTCCTGCATGGCAGGATGTCCCACTCTGAGGCCTCAGTGGAGTGTACAGACGTCAGATGCGCTGTCCACACTGTGGACCCGTCCGTTCTCGGATCAGCTGATCAAGAGTGTCGAGATCTCCGCACGGCGTCCGAAAGCTTTCCGATCTCATGCGGCATTGTTATGCACGTATTGACCCCGTCGTTGACATCCCCTGAGATGCATCCAGCACCAGCGCCAGCTCCAAACGTCTGCCAGCGTCCGAGACCACCATGACAGTCGCAGACCTCCTTGCGCCGCTAGAGCGTTCAGAAGATAGCAGCGCATCGTTGGACACCGTCTCTGCATCGAGTGATGATGACTCGCTTCCCCCGCGACAGAAGCAGCCTGCGATACCCACGCTACCCCCCAGAATAAAACTTTCCAATGCCGATTCCGCAGAAGTCCACCTCCCCCCCTCCACCAAAATCCCCGCGGTGTTCCGAGCTTCTTGCACAGAGCGGTACTCGCTCTTCCCGATTCGACACCCCGTGTTATGGTCGCTGTACAAGCGCCACCAGGCATCGTTTTGGACCGCAGAGGAAGTTGATCTCCAGCAGGATCTGCACGATTGGAATGGCCTCAAGGACGCCGAACGCCACTTCCTGACTCGTGTCCTCGCCTTTTTCGCCGCATCTGACGGAATTGTTTTGGAAAACCTTATCGAGCGCTTTTGCACAGACGTCCAGCTTCCAGAAGCGCGCTGTTTTTATGCCTTTCAGGCCGCCATGGAGAACGTGCACTCGGAAATGTATTCACTACTGATTGATACATATATAGCCGACCCTGCGGAGAAGACACTTTTGTTTGCGGCCGTGGAGAGCATTCCGTGCGTGCGGAAAAAGGCGGAGTGGGCTCTCAGGTGGATTAGCTCCGACGCAGGGTTTGTGGAAAGGCTCGTGGCGTTTGCAGCCGTGGAGGGGATTTTCTTTTCGGGGTCGTTTTGCGCCGTGTTTTGGATGAAGAAGAGGGGGCTCATGCCTGGGCTCACCTTCTCCAACGAGCTTATATCACGGGATGAAGGGTTGCATTGTGAACATGCATGCGTTTTATACGGCATGCTCCCCGCGCATGAGAGACTGAGCGATAGTGCGGCAATTGAGCTCATCAAGAGTGCTGTGGCATGTGAGCAGGAGTTTATTTGTGACGCTTTGAGCGTGGATTTGATTGGCATGAACAAACAGTTGATGAAGGAGTATATTGAATATGTTGCAGATCGATTGCTGCTTTCCCTGGGACATGAAAAGCATTTTTGTACGGCAAATCCGTTCGAGTGGATGGAGCTCATATCGCTGCAGGGGAAGACCAACTTTTTTGAGAGAAGAGTTGGAGAGTATCGCATTGCAAATGTGAACATTGACGGTGTAACTATTAGCCGCAAACGAGAAGAATTTTGTTTGGACGCTGAGTTTTAGTTATTGATCAAGTGAGAGGGCTGTAAATGTACATACAGTGTTATATTTCGTGATATGAGAGGCCTCCTTTGCGCTAAAGACCACTAAATATGCGAGCATCACAGGCACGTGTTGGGCAGTTAGCAACCTTCTTATGATTGTACTCGAGCAAGACGTCTTGGCGTATATCCCTCACGGCCTGTGAGTATAGGAACCGTACTGTACGTCGTCAAAATGGTTGTGGATCCGTCCCATTGGAACGTATGATTTGTTTCTGACATGCTGAACAACGGTTGATCACCTTCTCAGGCGTAAGGCTTGCAGTGGGCTACGGGAGAAACGGCAAAGCAAAGAGCTCTAGCTTCTGGGTGACGACCTTTTTCAGTTGGCTTTATGAACGTGGCCAAAATTATCGCCGAGAGAAGCTCATCGACCTTGATCCACTGGCGGGGTGCTTTCTGGCCTTCCGGGGACGTTTCTTTCCCTTACCATCCGGTTTCCAATCTAGCCGAAGCTTTTGCATCGCATCATACGGTTCATCCTTCTTTGCTTCTTCTCGCTTCTTCTTTTCCTCTTGAAGTGCCTTTGTGTAGTTGAAGGCAGGGATTACAGGAGCAGCTTCAGGCATGGCAACGCGTTTCTTCTTTTTCTTGCTGTTTTTTCGCCTCTTTTTAACGCATGATGACCCGAACCTCTCCTCCAATGACATAAAAGGACGTTGGTCGAGTTTGTCCTCGTTATCTCTTTTTCTCTTCGTCTCGACTGGACTGTTATTAATGATGGGCTCGGGGGTCAATTCTTCGTCTGAAGCCGGAGCAGTTTCGACTCGAAATCCGTCCGAACTCTTGGGCATGAAGCCATTCATGCCAGAGTGAATTTGTTCAAGGATGCCCTTCCGAACAAGGATATGTGCGGTGGCACCCAAGGGTCTGCGCTCTTCTTCGTCATCACTATCATCATCGCTTAAGTTGAATACGGACTGTCTTGCTGCCAAGATCGAAGGCCCTTCGTCTCGTTTCGAAGAAGCTCCCATTTCTTGGGTTAGGTAGTTTGTTTGTTTTTCGGCTCTCGTTGCTTTTGCTTTTTTCGAATATACTGCAGCGTCTAGCTCCGACACGGATTTGACTGGGAGCTCATCGCTGCTGTCGTCGCCATCGTCAGTATCGCTAAGGTTGAACACTGACTTTTTAGCCATTGTCACCGTACAAATGGGTTTGGCATTCTCAGCAAGGGTTCGGGGATTCGGATCAGACTCGGGGGGGCCCGGTAATTCCCTTGGACTCGAAGCGAGTGCGTCAGGTTTCGTAAGACTTAAGACAGAGAGGCCGCCTGCGCTTCCTTCGCCGCCAGGAGCCGGGTTTAGAACGCCCACCTCGACTTTTGACACCGACCCTTCATCTATATCCGAATCTGAGGAGTCAGAGTCATATAAACGCGATTTACGCAGGGCAGAAGCTTTCAAAGTGACTTGTGGCTGCTCCGTAGAAGCCGTGGTCTTGCTGCGTAAGGGTAAGCTTCCCCCAGATGGCAACCCTTCCTTTGCCTCTTTCCGGTGCATTGCGACGCCCTTGGGAACTTCCTTGGCCCCGTCTCCTGCGCCGGATGACTGAATAGGAGCAGGCCGTGCCGCGCATTTCTTTTCAAGATCACCAAGTTTTGCATCCAAAGAATCTACGATCAAGCGCACAATTTCATCCGCGTTTGCCTTGATCATTGGTGGTACAGATTTGGAAGGAAAACCGTATTTCATGAGTCCCTCAACAGTTCGCACCCTGTCACGCGCCCTCACAATACCAAACAGAGATCCAAGAGGAGCCACATAATTCAAACTCTCGTCTTCCTCCCGTCCTTTCCGGTCTCGCCATCCGTAAAGCTCTTCCAATAGGCGTATTTGATGGGCATCAAATCCAAGACCATACTTCGCACAAAGATGGCGCGGAATGCCTCCGTCGTACCGAGTCTTTTTGTAGCGCTTTCTCGCAACGACGGCCGAGCGCTTCCACGCCTTGGCAGTCAACTCCTTGTCCGCCAGCTCGGTCTTGAGCCTATCATATATGTACAACAGATAATGCGTATCAGAGCGAGCGTACTGAAACATGTCATCCGGCAACGGCCGCTGGCGCCAGTCTGAAAGCTGAAACTTCTTCTTGCTCGTTCCCGTGACATCACAAAACCGTGCCTGGAGGTATGACAGTGCGGCCGACGGAAACTTGAGCAACCGCGCGGCCTGCCCCGTATCAAACATGTTGACAACGAACACGCCGAAATCGCGCTCCAGCCACTGCACGTCCTTATCGGCACCATGCAACACTTTCACAATCGACTCATCGGCAAAAATGGGCGCCAGCGCTCTATGCACCGACCCTCTCAACGCAAGCGCATCCACGACAACGTCCTCCCTCCTCGTCGACATTTGAATCAAGCACGTAAACCCCTGAAACGACCTGACACTGTGATTTTCAATATCGATCGCTACCTCCCCCACTCGCTTCAACCGGTTGGCCACCTCAAAAAGCTTCTCTTCCGTCTTGATGAACGTGCACGGAGTACTCTTCATAGACCGATACACAACTGTGTCCTCCTTCTTAAACACTCTCGCCGCCATCTCCTCCTCCGCCGCCCGGATCTCTTCCTCATACGGATGCTTCCCTTCCATCTCGCCTCCACTCGCCTTCGAGTTCGCCTGATACAGCTCCTGCAAGTACACGTCCACGTCCGCCCCCTTCGCCCCGGCCACCCCGGGCGGCACGAACGCGGTATCCGAGTTATCCACCGGCCAGTCTGGAAACGCCATCTGCGGTTTCTCCATCTCCACCCACGCGCACTCCCTGTGCCTCCCGCTCCCGAGCCTGGTCTCCGGCCCGACGGCGCCCGTCTCCAGCGGCTCTGCGTCTTGGATCCCCCTGGCGCGGTCCAGGGCGGCGTTGAACTGCTCCAGGGCCTCGTCGGTGGCCTCGTGCACGCGGTCGAACAGCGCCTCCGCCGCCACGCTCGGCGCGCTGTCGGACGACTCCGACTCCGGGTCCGTCGCCGCCGGCACGTAGCACGCGGCCGCGGCCGACACGGCCGCGCGCACGCGCCGCGTGGCGCGCCGCAACGACGCAGACGTCTCCGGACATACCGCGTGCAGAAGCTCTAGGTCGTCGCCCTGCGGGAGCGGGTCCGACTCTACCGCCGTCCGTCGCAGCGACTTGAGGACGCGGACGCAGTGCGCTTTGGACGCCGGGACGGTTGCATGTGAGCTTTTTTTATCGGCGTCGGGCTTGGGAGCCATCGCGGGGAGGCTTCGAGGGCGTGGGGGAGAGGGTAGCGGGATGGGACTTGCGCAATTGAGTGGCTGACGGCGGCGTGAGGGGAAGGTGATGCAAATTAGGGGGAGGGCGGAGCAAGAACGTTACGCCGCCGCCTTCACGATACGTTGGATGCCCGGATGGATCGGCGGGGAGTGTACACGTGTGAGTGACGACACATGACACGTGTATACAGCGGGATGTGGTTGAGAAACGGGGAGCTCATGTGTAGTATGACTTGGAAGTCATGGTCCGATGGCGCCTGCCCAGCGCGCTGGGATGGCGACAGGGTTGCTGTCCAGCAAGGGGCGTGGCGTGCAGCCCTATTAGCGAGTACGGCTTCGATTCAGACCCGTGATTGTGTTCGTCGTGGAACGGGAGCGGAAGCACAGGCTTCGAACGATGAAAGGTGGCGCTGAAAGTGTGCAGAAAACCAGAAGCACTTGGCATGACATTGCCCAACTGACACCGGGATCGAAAAAACGGCGGCAGGGCAAGCCTATTTGTGCTGTTTTACTGAGTCGTCTAGCGCTTTCTGCTCGCCGAGGCCGAGGCCGGGCTCCCCTCGTGCATGAGTTTCTGGTGACGATGCATGTCGTGCTTGCGGTTGAAGGCGGTCTGGCACGTTGGACAGATCCACTTGGCTTCCTTCTCGTGCACCGCGCGCTGGTGCGTGAGTAGGTTAGACCGCAAGCCAAAAGAAAAGCCGCACTGGTTGCAGCTGTATGGGCGCTGTCCGTCGTGCACGGTACGTACGTGGGCTTCCAGATGCGTCTTGGCTTGAAACTCAAACCCGCAACGCTCGCACGGAAACTGACGCACTTTCTTGTGGACAATCTATGCCACGCAGAAAAAAACCGAAACCATAACCACAAAGCAAGAATACGTTAGCACACGCGTGACAAGACACACCACGGGAAGAGAGGGGAAGGCGGAGGTAAGAAGACAAAGACGAAGAGAAAACGCATGCAACATACCGTGACATGTCTTGAGCGGTCGCTTCTGGCGCCAAACAGCCTGCCACAATGCTCGCACGCAAACGGCCTGAGTTTATCATGCACGCGTCTGACATGCCTACTAAGCTGACCATTCTGGGCAAACACAGCATCACACCTCTGACATGGAAACCTCTTCTGAGACGGGGGCTTATTGCCGCCCCCCCTAGATGAGCTCCCCCCAGGGGGTCCCGTCGACGGAAGCTGCGCGCGGTTGACAGAGCGAGCTTTGCTAAGCTTTCCACTGGCAGAAGAGTGCAAGCTAGCGTGTGCGCTATGCGTTCTCAGAACGATACCATCGATGTTTGCGCTCTGCCTCTGGAGGACGCGGGTGCGCTTGCGCGGGGGCGCGTCCTCCGTAGAGGCGGACGGGACTTTCTCGCTGCCCTTGGAGCCCGCGCGGGAGCCTTTCGAGCCCTTGGAACCCTTGGAGCTCTTGACGGCGCGCTTGGCGGAAGAATGGCGCGGCGGGTCGTGCTGGCGCAGGTTGAGGAGACCGCCGATGGCGCCTGGCGACTGGTCGTAGTAGGCGTGCTTGGATGCGGCAGGGGAGGGGTAGTAGGAGGAGCGAAGCGGGCGAAGGTTGGACTGGGGGCGGGAGGGATGCGACGGCGGGTGGGCGGAAGGGTTGGATGTGCGGTTCTTGCGGTTGATGAAGGAGGCGAACATCTTCTTGAATAAGTCGTCATCATTGGGGTTGGGCATTGCTAAGGGGAGGGAAAGCGGAAGAGGGGGTTAGAATGAGGCGGGGCAGGGCGGGGACGGG